CAAGCTGGCCCCGTTCTAGTCAATGGTACCTTTAACCTTACTGGTTCTGGTCTTGATCTGGAAGAGCATAACTGACTTCCCTTTTGGTTATATTAATCAAAGAAATAAAAACTAACTAAGGTGCAGCTTAGAATACCTAGAATTTACAGGTTCTCCTAGCTTATGCAAGCTCACCTTGCAAAAAGTGCCATTTTTGGAGGCATGGCATAACTGTTTATGCATGTAGTGCCACACCAGTGAATTAATCTATGAAAGGAGGGTTCACTGGTATGGACAGAGACTGGTAGAACTCCAAGACCTGCCTCGAACTGGGTCATTTCGTAAGTGTTTCCTGTCAAGCACATTAGCCTCTTTGCACATATCTACTGTGATCAGTGTGGTATGTTGCCTTGAACAAATATATCACTTGATAGGTGAACCACAGCCACGTTTTTCTAAACAATTTTTGTGTGTTTCTAAATGTGTTTTCCTGTCAGCACTGTTGGTAGGCCATGTATGGTATATAAATGAATAATCATATATAACACGTCTGTTCCTCTTATTACTGCTGAGCTCTTACAGAAAGTACCCCTGTGTTTTTTTTTTATTTTATTTTGTTTTTATGGGACCATCAGGACTAGATGCTTTTGCTTTTTCTGTTGCTGTAAACAAGCTGTTGTGACTGATACTTCTTTTCACCATGTCCTGAACACTCCCAGCTCGTAGTTATATGTCATTTCCAGGATGCTTTGGAGGGTGTGTATGCCTCCACCCCATTTCAAAATCAATGCAACTCTCAATGGATTGACTAATGGCTGCAAGGTGTTGCTTAGCATGCTGGTTTTGGCTGACAGTGCTGCTCCATGTACAGTGGTTTGCTTAATATGTCTTTCATGATTCCTATGTGAAGTATTCTTTACGGACAAATTCCAAGTGCCGGTGACTTCAGGTTTGCTAGTGAGCGTTCATTCTTGACGTGCTTTTGAGACCAAAAAGAAGCATGACCCCAATTTTCTGCCCTGTATATTGATGATTTTGCCCTGTTCCCTTGTCATATCTGATGTTTGGATTGTCCCCGTTCTTTTTGTTATGCCGATCTCGTCATCACTACATCCATCTTGACTCACTAGAGCAGGAGTGGGTGGTAAGAGTTAAAGAAAACCGTGATGCACCTGTCCAGGTGCTGTGCTGATGTGGTATATAAGATGTTGCAATTCTGCCCCACCATGGGGAACTAGGACTGATGTCAAGTTTTCTTTCATTTGTTGTCCTATGTGTTGTTGCATTAGGACGTTCTCAACCCTGTTCACGGAGTAGCATATGCAGCACCACAGAGAAATTGCTTGTGCATAGTAAACATATTGACTTGTTATTATAGTGGGTGGACATGCCTTATTATTCACCTATGACATGTTGACCTTCTAGAAGGTCTACCTGGCATTTTGGTAAGGGCTACGTGACAGCATGGTATTGAGTGTGGTCAGGGATGGTGTCTCTACTAATCATTTTAATGAAAGTAATCATCCTCTCTCTGGAGGTGAACAGAATCTGAATTTAATCCTATAAACAGGTGAGGTTAAACTATGGACAAAAATACTCTCTGGGTACCTCTCTTGTTTGACTGCTTAGGTTTCTATATTACGTGGTTATCTGAGCTGATGTCATGTATGCTGCATTGCTCTAATATCTTCAGTCCTTAATGCATTACCAATGCGAAGAAAAGCTGGTGTGAGTAGAATTCTTCTTTCTTGAAAACTGTTGGAATTACTCATGTTGCCTTTAGAAAACGGCACAGAATCACATGAAGTCACCAAGTGGTTGAAGTTGAAAGGATCTCTGGAGATCACCTCTACCCCCCTGCTCCAGCAGGGTCACGTAGAGCACATGGCACAGGATGCATCCAGGCGAGAGCTGAATATCTCCAGGGAGACTCCACAACCTCTCTGGGCAGCCTGTTCCAGTGCTCTGTCACCCTCACAGCTGAGAGGTTTTTCTGTTTCCTAATGGAACTGCTTGTGCTTCAGTTTGTGGCTGTTGTCTCTTGTCCTGTTGCTGGCCAGCACTGAAGAGAGTCTGGCCCTCTCCTCTTGAGACCTTCCCCTGAGATATTTGTATACACTGACAAGATCCCCCTCAGTCTTCTCCCAGCTAAACAGGCCCAGCTGTCTCAGCCTTTCCTCATAACAGATGCTCCAGTCCCTAATGATCTTTGTAGCCCTGTGCTGAGCGATCTCCAGTAGCTGCATGAGTCTCTTGTACTTTGTCCAGCACTGAACACAGCGTCCTCTTGAGACCTTCCCCTGAGATATTTGTATACACTGACAAGATCCCCCTCAGTCTTCTCCCAGCTAAACAGGCCCAGCTGTCTCAGCCTTTCCTCATAACAGATGCTCCAGTCCCTAATGATCTTTGTAGCCCTGTGCTGAGCGATCTCCAGTAGCTGCATGAGTCTCTTGTACTTTGTCCAGCACTGAACACAGCGCTCTCTCAACCTGCTGTCAACGCAGCAGGGGAGCTCCCAGCCTGTACTAGTGCCCGGGGTTATTTCTGCTTAGGTGTGTGACCCTCCGCTTGCTTTGCTGAACATGAGGTTCCTCTGCAGCCATCTCTCCAGCCTGTCACAGCCTCTGAATAGCAGCACAGCCCCCTGATGTATCAGCCACTCTTGCTAGGTTTGCACCACAACCTTGCTGAGAGTGCGCTTTGTCCATCCAGGTCCTTGATGAAGATGTTGAATAAGACTGGATCCGTGGGGGACACGACTGGCTACAGGCTTCCAGCCAAACTCTGCACCAGAATCTGAGGGGTCACAACCTTCTGAGCTCTGCCCTTCAGCCCCTTCTCGATCCACTTCACTGTGCACTCATCTAACCCACACTTCCTGAGCTTGGGTATGAGGCTATCATGTGAGACAGTATCAAAAGTCTTGCTGAAGTCCAAGTAGAAACATCCACCTCCCTCATCTACCCAGCTTAGCCTCTACTTCGTGAGTGCTGTAGCCGCAAACTGTGTGATTAGAATTTACGTTTATGCAGCCAAGTGAGGGTACTGAGTAACTCTTCCTGTGAGGTTAGCGCTGCTGGCTGTTATGTCCGTGCAGAGTTTGGTAGCTCCATAGTGCCAGGGACGTGGCTTGTTTCTATGCGGGCAACGCAGCCTCTCAGACATGGGCCAAGACTTTCCTATGGCGGAGTGTAACAACGTCGCTGCTGTGACAGGCCCTTTCGGAGCGGTTTGCAGTGATGCGGAGCTGACAGGCAGATCCTTTGGGTGCGTGTGATCGCCCCAGGCATCGCGTGTCTGCTGTGCTTTGCTCCCTGTGGCAAGTTCCATGATACGAGCACTGCGGTGCTGCTCGGCTACGTGCAGCAGGCTGGGCATCTGCAAGGGTCTGCTGCACGAGGGTCACTTCTTCACGTAGCCCTCCCGCTCTGCCTTGCAGTCACTGTGCTCCTGTGGTAGCTGGGTATTCCCGGGCACTCCCTGCATCCCGTTCCGTTTTGGATGTTGTAGGAGCTGATTTTTGGTCTCCAGGTGCCTTTGAAAACCACATGCTATCACCTGGCTGCGCTGAGTTCTCTCTGATTTTTCTTCTTGCCACAGCTTGCACCTACCTAAAATAAATGTGCCAAATTGGCTTTACTCTTGAAAGAAATAAAGCTTTATGGATTGCTTTGCTCCGATTAAAAATCTTCGTCATCTGCGTAGCATTTTATATGTTCCCAAAGTCCATCTTTCTGCCAGTATTGTTTTTTCTTTAGCTTCTTAAGCAAAAAATATATTCCATAGGATTTCCAGCTTCTTTGTAACCTCTGGAACCCATAATTGATTTGCTGGAATGGACTTTTTTTAGGTGGTTGTCTCCCTTTTGCTGCTTTTCTCAGTGAATAACACGGGGGTCTGGTGAGCGTCAGGATTCAGTCCGTGTGGGAGGGAAGGAGCGGCCAGCAGAAACGGTGCTTTCCTGCTCTTTTTTTTCAGGCTTGCATGTTTTGCCATGTGTTTGGGATAGGCTAGATTAGAAATAACCTTTGTCTGGTTCAGAAAACACTTAGCATTAAGGATTTGACAGATGCCAGCTGCTTCCAGAAGTTTGTGCTGTTCCTGACTTGTTGCATAACCCAGTCCCCAGCCCCTACCTGCAGCAGCTAGTCCTTACGAAAGCCCTCAGAGGGACCGTTCCCTGGAGTGTAACCTTGCTTTGAGAAGCAGAGGGAGATCTAATGATTGTTTTTATTTCAATTTCCCAAATACTTTTCACATTCTTGGAATAACACTATTGCCAATGTGGTGGCTTCCCCGTTATTTTTGGCCATTTATTCCTCAGTCATCCTAGATACAATCAGTGTGAACAACTGCTTTTTAAAGAAACTCTCCTTTGGGCTCCTCAGCTGGTTTCCTTTCATATTAGCTATTCCTCAGTCATCCTAGATAGAATCAGTGTGAGCAACTGCTTTTAAAGAAACTCTCCTTTGGGCAATCTGTACTGCTTGCTGGTCACATAGTACAAATAAACTCAGCTGGTTTCCTTTCATATTAGCTACCTGCACAGCATTTGCTGGTGTCATTTTACCAGGTATGCAGATAGATTATAAATTTCTGAAAAGATGATGGAACAATGCTGAGAGAGCAGTGTTTTTTGAAAACTCATACAAAATGTTATTTTTGTTTTCCAATCATCCCTACTTTTTGAGGCAGAGTCATATTCTTTGGTTTTATTCATGTTCAGTGTTTGTTTTGTCCTTTGCCACTCAGAGAGGTAAATTTTCTCTAGTTTAGTGTAAATAATTCCAGATATATGACAACCTGGTGAAATGACACTGTGAAATTAATCTCTAGATTTTAATAGTTACTTCTGTTGAAATAAATAATTACCTAGAAGTTATAGTTTCAGAGCAGAAGACTTAACTGGAGTCAAAAGAAGCTGTGTTTATGCTCCTGAATACTTTTGTGACACCTTTTGTTTTGTTTTACTGCTTGTATCCTAATGAATAAAAATATTTCATTCTTGTTCCCTACAGATAAAACGAGATAAACCAGAAAATATACCAGATTTGCAATATTTAGTAAAAGAAAAATTTACTGCATTGGAGAGCAAGAACAGTGACTCAGATTTGCAAGCGAATGAAAAATACACGTATTTTAAGGATCAGCTTAAAGAAATGAGAAAACAATGTAAGTCTTAATTTTAAAAAGAAATGATTTTTTGAATGCTAAATGGTAACATGCATACTAAATGTACTAAAATACAGAACTACCAGTTACGGCTCGAACAGAGATGAGTGAAGTTCCTATTTCAAAACTTGTTTAAATTGATACATGTGTAGAAAAAAATCCAGTGCAGTTAGCTTGGTGGTTTTATATAGGTTCCCACTTGCCTTGTCTGAATACAAATATTCTTAAAATCCTGCTTTACATCTTCTCTTTTGTAAGATGGGCTTTTTCATTGGAAGTGACTTTTTTTTCGTAATTGATAGGATCTTCTAAAAGGATTAGGTAAGCTGTTTTCATTTGTCACTTAAACAAATTGCTCCTGTTTCACAACTTAGGATGTGTTGCAACTCTGAGAAGACCTTTGCTTTAATCGTAGAACTATATTGTTGGAAAATGCTTACTGGGTATGTTCTCAGGTTTACAGCCCCTGTGCACGCACCATAGAACACTGCACAGCATTGAAATCCGTTTTCCTTAATTGATGTTGATTCACCACGTGCTAAAATTTTAAGCTATTTGTGCTCGAATTACCAGAAAAGCTGGAGAGTTAGCAGTTCTAGTGCTTATGCAACACAGCAAAAGAGTATATTTTTATTGCCCTGCACTCATAACAGCTATTAAAAAATCACTCTGATTACTATTGCTGGGAAAGTTTATGGGCTCTAACACTATTTGTGCTGTTCTTCCACAATCAGGATTATGTTTTGAAATCATATTATTTTGCTCACTGTCCCTTGACCCCTGTACCTATTCCCTCCCACCCTACATTTTGATTTCAACATAAACTGGTATCTCAGGAACTTCAGGAGTCATAGATTAATGATTTATACCATTGGAAACTGCAATTCTGGATGCTCTCCTGTAGCTCTCCTTGAGTTTTGTTTTTTTGGAGCCCAATCCAAAACCCGCTGAAACTAGCGGAAAGATCTTCCCCGCTGACTTCACTGGACTTTGGATTGCTTCCCTGGAGAGGTTTACAGAGTGTGAGGACATGCTTGACAAGGTGAATTTAGATCTGATATCTCAAGGCTTGCTAGGACTAGAGCTTCAGGGCTTCATACATTTGTTTCCCGCCCTTACGGTTTTCAAGAGTGTTAGCGCTGATCGCTGAGTTCAATAGAGCTCTTGGCATTACTATAAGAGTGAACATACCAAGTTGCAGACCACAAAACAGTGTAATTTTCACTCCCTACATAACCATAGAATTATTACTGCCCCACCATTATGTTGTAATTCCTAGTTTCCAGGTGTTTGTAACTGAGAAGATAAAATCTTGATAACCGACTTTGGATTTACTTTCCACCCTGTAATTGCCCGAGGAAGGGGTGTATGCCCTGCTAATACATTCAGCTCAGGCTATGTGACTGAGTTCTAACTGGCAGAACTGTTGAAAATCGCCCAAATTAATTACGCTCAAAAATAGTTACTGTTAAAAAAAAAAAGAAGAAAAAAATGAGGACAACATTCTGAAGCATCAAAAGTTCCACAGGAACTTAAGGAAAAATTTATTGACAGTGAGAGGACAGAGTCCTGGAACAGGCTGCCCAGAGAGGTTGTGGAGTCTCCTTTTCTGGAGATCTTCAAAACCCACTTGGACGCAGCCCTGTGCCACGTGCTCTAGGTGACCCTGTGTGTGCAGGGGGGTTGGACTAGATGACCTCTAGAGGTCCCTTCCAACCTTAAGCATTCTGTGATTCTGTGACTCTATGATTCTACTACAACTGCCCTAAATCGAGGTTTGTTTTATTGGGCACTTGGGATTTGTTTTGGTCGTGCATAGAGGTCAGAGTGAGGCCAACAGGATACGCACGGTGGTGTCTGATCAGCTGCTGTGCCCCGTCCGTGGACTATTGATCAGCCAGGTCAGTTTGGGATTAGCTGAATTCATAATGTCTTTGATGCGGTAAATCTACCACGTCTGCCCCTATTGCAGCATTCAATGCAATTCAAAAGACTGAGTGGAAAATTGTTAGTTGAACTTTAACAAACAATCTTGGATGCAATTTAACGATCTTGTGTTCAAGTACACAGTTTCTTTCGGCCCGCTCTCTTTTGAAATGGTGAGCTAAATGTCAGCTCAGGTCCACAGACAGACCTTCAAAGTTCCATTCCCTAAAGCAAGCACCATCCTACTGCCTCCAGCATGTATCAGCACTACCTTTCTGGCTAACTCATCCACTGATGAGTTAGACCTGTAAGGTCACTTTCCTCCTCCACTTCCCTTGGCCAAGTGCTGTTTTACCAGGAAGGCTTCTTGAGTAATAGTGGCTGGCTGGAGATCAGTGGACTGTGCTAATACTCACTTACATAAATTTGCTTCCATATGATAGAGTGACCTGCAACCAGCCTCTCTGTTCTGTGTCGTAGTGTGGTCTCCTTGCCATTACCCTTAACCTCCCTTTCCCTTTGGTCTCTTTTCCCCACTTGTATTCCCATCTAGTACAATAAAGCCCTGATGTTGAATGCAGCTCTTATTGCCGAGCTGGGTGCTTTACCTCTGTCAGTATTACCTAAAGCACCGTGCAAGCCAAGTAGAAAGCAAAGTTCCTGTAAAGAAGGGAGTGAATATGGAGCTCCGAAGGAGGAATTTCTGAGCTGAAAGACCAGCTGAAGATGCATGAAAACAGTAGAAGACCAAAGCCTCCTTCTTTCTGAGCTGAAAGACCAGCTGAAGTGAAGATGCATGAAAACAGTAGAAGACCTCCACTAGTTTCAATAAACTGATGATTTATCTCATAATCCACCAAATCTGCATTTTGTTCCTTTTTGCAAAGGGAAGATTATGGTCAATCAGTTAAGTATTCAGCAGTTATGCTTAAGTCAAATTGTGTGTGTATCATTACCTTCTTGTGATGGGATTGTGCCTTCATAATCATGATTCCAGTAATACAGGTCCCATAATAATGACTATTCTAAGGTGTCTGCAAATTCTGGGATACATTCTGAAATTACTTTTTGTGACTGATGTTTATTAATAACTATCAGCAGCTGCTTGATTTATATTTTCTTTTTGACTACTAGTGTTGCCAGTATTTGGCACAACTTGATGCAAAACTCCTGGCCTTTTTTAAGCAGTGCATAGACATAGACTTCATGATCCAATTTTTAGCTCTTTTCTGGGATTTGTTTCTAATGCTAACTCAAATAAGATATCAAAACACAGAACTCCAGCCAGGTGTCCTCGGATGAGCTTTCATGTTTTTCCCTTTATCCCAGCCTTTCGCATTTCAAAGGAGCAGATGGGGTGGATGCTAGAATGATTCCTCTGCTATGTTGAGGTACCATTAATCATTATATATCTTCTATGCCGGTTTAGCATTTGTATTTTAGACTAGCTGAAAAAGAAAATGTTATATTCTCACCTCATCTTGGTATTTAGGAATTAACTCAGATATGAACGAGGATAATTTTCTTGGCACAAAATTTCTTAGGTGCAGAGTGTGAAGGAGCCAAATTTAACCTTAATTTACCAATCTCTCTTGTTCTTGACACTCTTGGTAGTTACTGCCACAGTGATGAAAAGGGAGCTGCATGTTTTTCCCCTGCCATGTGGTGGGCAATATGAACTGCCCTCCTCTTTGGGGAGGAGAAAGGCCCTTCATTGCCTTCGGTTCTTCCCCTTCTCTGGGTAGTTCTGCAGACAGGAGCCCTTCTTGCGAGTGCAGCTACGAAAATGCAGAACTGAAGTTGGGGAAGTGCATTTCTTCACAGCAGTGAGGATGACAGGGTGTTTCAGAGCAGGTTACTGTCTCCTCCTCTTTCACACCGTTGGAGGCAGTTTGCCCTCAGTCCTTAAGCCCTTATTATGCTGCTAATTTATTGGGAGGGAATGCAAAATGATGCAAAATCTTCACTTCTGATGATAGGTGTCAAAACACTGTCAGATAGCTTTTTATGCGAGTATGTGCCTAGAATGTAACCATTAAAAGAAGTTTCTATTTTTTCTTCTTTTTTTTTTTTTTAGTTTTTACCATTCATTGAACCACAGAATGACCATATTATCTTTTCAAATGTTTGAACACTTTTATGCATAAGGGTCTCAGACCTGCAAAGCGTGTAGCGATCTACTTGTCATTAATTGAAATGTTTAAGCAAGTTGCTTGAATTAAACTGCATGAGCAAATCCTTTGAAATCAGTGACACTTCAGGCATGTGGCACTCCGTTAGTGGATTGTAACTACAGTACGGGACCTTGCGGGACTGCGCCCATAGCGACTAAGTCATGATTTCTGTAGGAATTGTGGCTTTGCATTTTGTATCCGTCTATCTCCTCTAAATTTCAAATCCCACCTTCTGTTTAATGTTGCATTACCGACTCTTTTTATTTCATGCCAGGATATATATCAAAGGCATCTTCTGGCACCGGGTATGAGAACTGTGCCTGCATGAAATGAAAAGCAGGAGCTGGCTTTAATCTGTAGGTATCAGTTTAAGTTTCTGACACTCCGTGAAAAGAACTAATCAGAAGCTGTAATCTCTACTCCTATGACCCTAGCTACCACCGGAGGATTTTTGAAGGTTATTTAGTTTCACGTTTCGTGCACAAAAGATGCCATGTTTCCTAGCTCTTCTGTAGCAGCTGATAATGTGCGCTTGGGAATCCCTGACAGCGCCGTCCGGCGCGTGCGCCCCGCAGAAACCAGCCGCAGTCGTTCGCAGAAAGTACTAAGTTTTGAGTGAATTACAGTGTTGCTTACACCAATGCCAAGCAATTTATGGAGTGAATTTGGCAGAGTGAAGAAAGTCGGTGCTCTGTTGATAGGAAACAAATCATTTTGCGATGCAATATTGGTTTTGGCAACATTTTGTGGTAGGAAAACAGTCATTATAATGTTGTTTGGAAAGTAGCAACGCTGCAGTTGTAATGAACCTTCTTACCCTCTCCACTGACAAAAACAAGCCTCAGAAGTTCTGGAAGGGAGAAGTATATATCATGATTAAACATTTTGCTAGACAGATTC